GTGTATTACCTGCTGTTTTTTTTATTACATGGTCCTTCTACAACACTACGCTGAGTTTCCAACCCTCCGACGCGTGAGCTGCGACGCATTTGCAGATTGTTGTGTTCAATTATTTTAGATTATTGACTTAGCTTTTAATATGTTTGTCATTTGTATTCATTTGTATTCAACGTATTCTGTGTATTGACTATTTGTAATTTTATTTATTGTCATATGTATGAAAAGACATGGGGTTTCTACGCCTCTTTGAGCCAACTGAATGGTTTACTCAAAGAGGCTTTTCCCCATCCTAGATTTCATTAAGACTGAAAAAAGTCAGATGAAATAAGAATAAAATAAAATAAAATAAAAAATATCTAAACTTTTCCAGTAACATTCTAAGAGTTATTAGTATGTCCTCTTGTAATATCTTATAAATCACTCTCCAATTCCACAAGTCCCTCAAACTGGTAATAATTCCCAAGAATTGGTTCAATTTTGTGTCCATTTTTAAGAATTTTAAAATATTCTGAACAATTTCCTTGGTACACTCTTCAAAATGACCACCACACTCTTCTCAGACTCATCCGATAATTCTTTTTGATCTGCTTTGTAGGTAAGGTCAGAATTGTTTTGAAATCCTTTTTAGTATTACCTAAGTACTCAAGTTTTGCCATTTTTACAAAGAAAACTGTTTTTGAAAGTCTCCCAGGAATTGCGCTTAACATTTTAATAAAATTAATTTCCATAGAAACATTGGACAGAATTCCATTGAAATTATTCTCACGATTTGTATCAGCATACTCTTTAAGTTTCATCATACGAATTTTCTATGCTTTCTCTTTCGGATTGTATTTCCTGCATTGATAAAATCTCGATGTAATTGTAATCAGAGTTGACAAGACAATTGATACCGTCTTAAACCAGAGGTTGCACAGACTGAATATTTAACACTAGACAACGGACAACACACCAAACCCATTAGTCCAGTAGGGGAATTTTCAGGTTGCCAAAATTTGCACCGGCTAAAGCGGGAATCGAACCCTCACTTCGTGGCACTCACAATACGTCTGAATGATGGGTGACGCCCACAAAGATGGATGTAATTCTAAATACTTAGAATTATCTTGAAATTCTCCTTTGATTTCACAAATAATTCGCCTCACACTTCACTGCGAAATATTTTCAGAATTACCTTAAAATTCCAATAATGTTTAACGTTGATGGCCTTTAATAATTAAAGTAGCAAGTTTGGCTATTTATTTTATTATTAGAAAGTAAATCAGCTGCAGTGAGCCACCAGTTTAAAAAATCTGGGAAAATCTGGAACATATTTTAAAAATATGGAAATATACTTGGTATGTCTATGTATCTCGCAAGACGAAAATAAAAAGAATAAAGCAAGACGAAGAGAACAAGAAAATAAATAAAAAAAAAGAAGACGAACACAAAACAATAAACTACCCGCATGGTTCAATCCACAACTGAAAAATTTAAAGAATAAAAAACAGAAAGCTCACAAACTATACAAAAAAGAAAAAAAACTGAAACCAATTTGCGAAACTATCACAACTTATGCAACCAATTAAATACAGCCATCAACTCTGCATATGAGGACTATAACCGCAAAGTCGAAAATGAAGTCAAATCATGTCCTAAGAACTTTTTTAATTATGTAAACACGAAATTAAAAAGCAGCAATTTTCCTTCGCGAATGAATTTGGATGCAAATGTAGGTGAGAATTCTTCTGAAATTTGCAATCTCTTTGCAAATTTCTTCCAAGAAGTATACACCACATTTTCCGAAGAAGATCGTGACCGCGATTTCTTTGCATTCATTCCTGAAATTTCTAAAAACATCTCTGTCAACCAACTTTTTTAACATGAAGTCCTCAATGCACTAAAAAACTTAAACGCGTCGAAAGGGTCTGGACCTGACGGCATCGCACCCATATTTTTGAAAAACCTTTCTGAAGAACTCGCATTTCCTCTAGAGCGTCTTTTCAGAAAAATAGAAAATTCCCTGAAATTTGGAAATCATCTTATTTGGTACCTATTTCAGGTACCAGGTGTTTTAAGAGATGAACTAGCCTATGGCTAAAAATCTCTATAATAAAGAAAAAAAAAAAAAAAAAAATCAAATCAGGTGCAAAATCAGACATTCGAAATTATCGTGGAATTGCTATTATTTCTTGCATTCCAAAACTTTTTGAATCAATCGTAAACGGCAATATTTTCAGCAGGTGAAAAATCTAATTACAAGTAAATAGCACGGCTTTTTTAAAGGTCGCTCAACTACCTCTAATCTTCTAGAATATGTATCTTTCATTATTAAAGCGTTGGACAGTGGCAAGAACGTTGAAGCGCTATACACCGACTTCAGTAAAGCATTTGACCGCATCGACATACCATTATTAATCCTCAAATTGCAGAAAATAGGAATGGAGCCTGGACTTTTGAATTGGCTTCAATCATACCTAACACATCCTAAACAAATAGTTCGCTTTCAAAATAAACTTTCAGAACCAATTTCAGTCACCTCTGGGGTACCCCAGGGTTCTCATTTAGGCCCACTTCTTTTTATTTTGTACATAAACGACATTTCCTACATACCTAAAAAAAAATAAAATTGCTTGTATATGCAGACGACATGAAGCTCTTTATGGAAATAAGTAATTCTAGCGATGTAGAAGAATTCCAGAATGAAATCAATATGTTCCACACCTGGTGTAGTAAAAGTCTACTTCAACTGAACGTAAAAAAATGTACTGCAATAGCATTTAGCAGAAAAATTGAAACACCGCATATTGAAATATCATTAGGCAACCAAATAGTAGAAAAAAGCAAAATTGTAAGAGATCTAGGTGTAATCCTAGACTCCAAACTAACTTTTATAGAACATTATAATACTATCATTAGTAAAGCAAACAGAATGCTAGGCTTCATCAAAAGGTTCAGTCATAATTTCGAAGACCCATACACTATTAAGCTATTATATACCACATATGTAAGGCCAATTCTGGAATACTGCCACCTAGTATGGAATCCATACATTTCCATACACGAAGAACGCATAGAATCTGTCCAGAAACAATTCCTTTTATATGCTTTACGTAAATTGAATTGGACTGCATTTCCATTACGATCTTATGAAGCGCGCTGCATGCTCATCAATATACAAACACTTAAGAAGCGCCGCCAATTTGCAATGCTTTTCTTCATCAACGACATTATTTCAATGCGCATAGATTCGGCAGAAATTCTCGCACAATTAAATTTTTACACACCTTGTCGATATCTTAGAACACGGAATTTATTTTCAGAAACATCGTACAGAACAAATTATGCAAAATATAGCCCAATCAATCGAATGATGCGCCTATATAATTTACATTGCGGAACTATTGACATCACTATGTCCAAGCAGCAAATAAAAACTAAGCTAAAACAGAATAGAATTTATGCATAGTATGTAAGTAAACATTGTAATAATCATTGTATGTAGTCTACACTGGCTTGACGAAATGGAAATAAATAAATAAATGACGACTAAAAATCTGGAAAATCCAGATAAATCTGGAATACTGGCAACGCTGTTTGACATGGTCCGCCTTTAGGAAATGAGCACCAATCATGCCAGGCAGACTAAATGACCGAAGTAAAAATCAAGTACCAATCGTCTTAAACTGTACATTGGACAAGTTGTTATCTGTAATTATCTTTAAAAAAATGAAAGTTGCTGTTACTTAGGACCTTTTGAAAAAGTACTTGAGATTCCCCTTTCGGGAGCTTTGATCAGCTTTCAAAATATTCATATCCCAGTACGGGTGATGCGTCTTTGACTTTGTATACCCGAGGGAAAATTAGCCAACATTCGTAGGGCAACAGCTCGAATTTGGGCGATAACGAATCCACTCCAACTGCGTATAGGCTGGTAGCCTTTTAGTCAACTCCTATGTCAGCATCGGTATCATTAGATGAATGTCCAAGTAACAATTCTGGTTTTATGAAGGTCATGTAGATCATGATTTAGACTTCAAGCATGCTTTAAAACCTCGACAAAACTGGCATTGTTATTTGGGTGGTGATGAGCTACTGAACGACTACAACAAACCGAGCAAACGTAGTTAAGTTATCTGCTTTTGGGGAGAGTTGCTCTCCAAACTCTAGGCAACAGCATGTACAAAAGTTGCTCAGATCTACCATAGTGCATGTCCATGTCCAGGGTATCGATGATCTGCGGTAATGAACTTTGGCCACTCCTCCATCCTTCCGAAGAAAATCGACAACTTCCTCTACAGGAATTTTCGAGCTGATGGTAGACTCCTTGCTGGATGACGATAAGGGATCGTCGAACGACCCTTCAGGCTTTCGAAGACTTATGAATTCAAAAGTCTTTTCTACTGACTGAGTTTTACAATTATCCAGCACCTTTGATACATATCAAAGTTAGATGAAATTACATTTTTAAAGCAAATCACTTAAGTAGTTCAATCCTAAAACTGTGCTGCACAAACAAGCGAAAAAACCTATTGAAAACGGAGCTGGTTACAATCCGTTAAACTTTAACTAGCCGGGACCCAGACTGAGATGTTTACATTGCCATTAAATACTCGTTTCACCTGTTGCTAAATTTGGTGTGAAACTAACAATGTTTTATGCATTTCACAGTCCAAACACCATCCCGGGCATCAAAACCGATGCAAGGCAAACCAAAGTGGAGTGTCGGATTTTACCTCTGCTGTACCATTCGATGTACATATACCTACAATTTCAAAGCAAAAAAAAAATCAGCCATCAGCATCAGGAGACACCAACTTTGATGTGTATTTGTTCATTTCTCGGTACAGTTGTAGTACCACAATCCCTTCCCCCCCCATCCCATGCCATCATCACAACAAACCGAACCGAACTTCGGTCTGATTCTGAGCATTCCGCGAATTGAAGTACCGTTTGTGCGCCGGTTCAGTGCACAGACGCAGAGCTAGGTCGGTCGGTAAGGTAGGTAGGTAGGTACTTACATTTCACAATCAATAAAACATCACGGCTGGTTGGATTCGCAACACGATTATCAGCGATACAGCGGAAATTGCCAACATCCTCGCGCCGTGCATCCTTGATGTGCAGATAGCTCGTTCCGTTGGCGTACGTTGTCGACGTTTTTATCGTCATGTCGTACCCGATCCGTTCCCAGCGAATGTGCTCCTCGTTCAATGGCTTGCCTGATTTTTTTTCGATGAAAAAAAAAAGAAAAATTGTTGTAGTGCATAGGAATAGTAGGAATAGTGGCAGCAGCAGCAGCAGCAGCAGTAGTTGTGCCGCCAAATGCGGATTAAGGTACCAACCGGAAGCGTAGTAAGGAACATACAAACACGTCTGTTAAATACAGCTATTGCGCCTGGCTAGTATGCAATATTTATGTTTCATAAAAGTTTTAAAAATTTACCCAACTACGACGCTGAACTCCGACTCTGAAGATCTGCATTTTTCCGATACTGTGGAACATCTACAAAGAGGGGCAAAAAAAACCGGCACCGAAATGCAATGACTGTTGCAGAGATGCAGGATCTGGCAGTTTTTGGCACCCACACGAACCTTTCATGCCGTGGACCACCAGGGTAAGGGCGTACGGATGAAATGAAAATGAAGTGTGCACTCTTTATAGTCGGAGCGAGAGAGCGAAAGGCGATGGCTGTGGCGATAGTGAGTGCCGAAAAATCCATCTGCTATTTTTTTTTTCCCGTACGATTCGGACCGAGTTTCCTCCGCACAAGATCTGGATCGACTGGCCGTAGTAGGTAGATAGAGACCCGTAGGCGACGCGTCGGACGGGTTGTGTATACATGTAGGGACTACCGACAACCATCAGCCGACGACATGGGACCATGGCTTGGCCAAACTTGGGAGAGTTTTTTTTTCTGTTTCGATGAAGGATGATAGTGTCAGAGGATTTGGCATTTTCCGTTCCAGAAGGTCGAACCTGAGAGGATAAAAAAAAAACATGGGAAAATGTGTTCCAAATTTTTCCACGGATCAGGTTTGTCTGGGTCGAAGAGTGTGTTGGCCAGAAATGGTCACCGCAGGCGTGTGAAAACCTGGATCCTCAGCTTCTCAGCGAGTGATTGTGTCGAGTGCAGTTTTTGCATGCTGATGCTGCTGAGTAGCATTCCACTACTTGTCGGCGAGATGGAGGATTTTGGCCGACAATGCGCTTTGTGCGATTCAGTTTTTTTTTTCGTTGAGATAGGGACTTCAAAGAATTTTCCGCGAGAAAAAGCGGGTTAGCTGGATGATGTCAATGGCAATGAGAGAAGGATGACGTCGATGAATTGATACGGGATTGGCGATATTGGAGATTTCTCAAGATTAAGTGCGGCATGAGGGGCACCCTTTCGAGTTGGCAAACCAATGCATTTGGAGAAACAAACAAGCGTAAAATATGCTATCATAAAAATTACAAAAATTATTTTTAAATCCTTCCGGCGACTACATTACAAAATCTGTTCATGTCGCGAAACATTACAAATATTGTATACATTTCATGCAAATCTGTAACAAAATGTTACATTTTCCAGTTGGGTGTAACAATTTCCCAAACAGCATACTAAAAATAGAAATAAGTTTCCTTTAACTGCTCCCTTACGGTCACTGAAATGGGGAAATTAACAGTAAGGCAAGTATTGTCGATAGTATTCCCATGAAATCGATTCCAAAACATTCCATGAGTCAAAAATTTGCATTCACATTCATATTTTATTGGAAAATTCTTCCCGGGATCAATTTGCTGCATTCTTTTGATCCACCCATGAACTCTTCCTCATCACATCGTAAAACATATGACTGTTTACCGCTTCCCTCCCCCCCCTGCGCCTCGTCAATGGATATCGAAAAGTGAAAAAAGCATAAAACGAAAAGCACTGAATCAAACACTGATTCGCCCCTTTCGGTCCTTTATCCCTCTACATGAAACGCTTTCAAGAAGCCAAACATCCATCACATTTCCGACCGGATTCTTAAATCCCCGCAAGTCGCTTTTTCCTCCCACCGACGATGGTGACCGAGAGCAAGCATTGGATAAATGGATACTGCTCCCGAGTTCTCCCAGTCTTCTAAGCCAAGGGGTATAAAATTATGAAAAACTGTATTCTCATCGCATCAAGAGCCGTGGGTGTGTGTTTGTGTTTATATGTGAGCCATTCGGTGTGGACTTCCGGGAAACATGCTACCGCTGCTGCTACTGATACTGCTGCTGCTACCAGGCACTAGAACTACCGTTTTGTTTCGTTCTTATCCCGGTGAAACCTTTGCAGGTTAGGTTTAGACACGGGCAAAAAATTCCCACCACCACTACTGGCACTTACCTTCAACGGTGCATGAAAGCATTGCATCCTCGCCGGGATTTACGACCACGTTCTCGGAGATGGATTTTATCGATGCGCCATCTGGAATTTTATTTAGAGAAATATAAAAGTTTTGCCCGTTTTCCCCAGTTTCGTTTGCGGATGTGAGATTGGGTGACGGACGGGGAGCAAGAAGAAAATGGCGAAGTGCAACAGCTCTCACTGTCATCAAAACGGGATTCCCGCTTTTGTTTTTTTGTCAGTCCTGTTTTGACTGCTGTTGAGCTTCAGGTTCTTCCGCATTTCTGGTTCTGTATCCTGTATCCGGGAATGCCAGTGATTAAACCGTGGAAAGTTGAAGTTTTGGTTGGGAGTTTCATCCCGGTTTGGCAGTGACTTTTCCTGCAGTGTCACGGTGTTAATAAAATAAGGATTGTTCCCGTCAGCGTTGCCAGATATACCGATTTCCGAACTAGATACCGATATACAGATAATGTTCCTCAGAATACCGATTTTTGAGGTGTTATACCGATTTATACCGATTTTTTAAATAATCAAAATCAAATTTTTTATGTGAGACTTGTATCTTTTTGAATATCTAAAATTTTTTGAGTCTTTAAAATTCTAAAAAAAAAAAATTATCTTCATAAATGTCTTATGGATACTCTTTCGATTAATGTTTCAATTTCCCCACCGTTTTTGGCTACCCATGAATCGATAAACAGTCGATGGCTCTTTCTGATAATTCCGGGGGAATCGGGAAATACTTTTTAAACATTATTTAACTTTCTGGATTTTCTTCCAACTTTCCCCTGAAATTATTTATTTACGATTCCTCTCAGAAACTTATTTCGATCTCTCTTGAAAGCTTCTTCAGCCTTCGCTCGAATGATTCTTCCCGGAACTTCAGCGATGCTTCTAGATTTTGATTGCGGATCGACACTAGCTGCTGGAACTTTTAAAAAAGTTCTGAAACTTCAGAAAAGTCCAGGCTTTTGAGTAAGTTTCGATACATTAAAGAAAGTAACTTCTGTTAAAATTCTAAAACCCGGTCCAGCGAACTCCAGTGAACTAAACAAGACATCATAAATATTTTGGATACTTAACAAGCCCAAAGAACTTCTGGAAAATTTATTAGTTTCAGGAGAATTTAGAGAACATTAGCAAGCTCCGAGAATATCAGGACAATCAGATCTGATCAATAAATTTCAAGAAAATCGCTGAAATTTTAAAGGAGTTCCGAGAAACTCAGGCAATTGCCGAAAACTTCAGCAATGTTCCGAGGGGCTCATACAAATTTAAGAAACGTAAGGGAAGTTACACGAACATTAGCACATTGTGAAAAGTTCCGTGCTTATTGATGGAAGTGTCGATAGCTTTTAAAAATTAGAAAAATCGGGAAGATCAGAGAACTTCAATGCTGATGTTACAATAAATTCAAGAAAATTGTGACAGTGCTTAAAACATTTCGTAATCTTCAAGAAAGTCTAGAAACCTTCAAAGTTGATTAGAGATATTCAGGTACTCTCAATATAATCAGGGAAGTTCCACGTATTTCAAAGATGATCAGAGTACTCCAAAACAGCCCGAGTAAATATGGAATATTCCTTAGTAAATTTCAGGAATATTCCATAAATTTCAGGGGCATTTCGGGGTCTTCAAGGATGTTTTATGACTATTGGGAAAATTTTCTGGATCACTAGAACATCCCCCAAGAGCTCTTTCTTCCGAAATTATGTCCTTGTTTCTTTCGACTGTTCCGTAAGCGCTCTGGCTTCCGACTTTCTCCAGATTTTTTTTTTCCAATCTACCTTAGGAAGTTTCTGCCAGCGTCTCCAGGAAGTTTGGTCCGTCTTCTCAAGGAAGTTCAATTAAACTTTTCCCAGAAATTTCTTTCGTCTAGTTCTGGAATTTTGTCCAGTTGGTTTTTTTTACTTCTTTTGGAAGGTTTTTCCGAACTTCTTCTGGCTTCCCCTGGAAATGGCTACTTCTGGAATTTATTTTCGGTTTCCGAAACTTTTCTGCCTTCCTGTGAATGTAAAATCCGATTCTTTTAGAGTTTCTTAAAATTTTCGCCAGAAGTTTCTCAATTTATGTCTTGGAAGTTTCGTGGATGTTTTTCCGACTTCTCTCAGAACCTTCCTCAAATTTCCTCCAGGAGAGCTTCTTTCTCTTGCTCTTGTTTTCAGCTTCCTCCAGAGGCTAATTCAAACATTCCCCGGAGTTTTCTTCCGGAATTTTCCAATCATAGTCCAAAAATTAAAATTTTCGCTTTCAAAAACGCCAAAAATATAAAATTAATTAAAATAGTAAATACCGATAAATACCGATTTTTTAAAACCTTTGATACCGATAAGCTTTAAAACATTCTGGCAACGCTGGTTCCCGTATCGACAGAAACTTCTGACAGGAAGAAGTAACAGAATCTGTCTTCCATTCTTTTTGGCTAAAAAAATGTTTTATGAAATTATGGAATAATAAGATATTATGATTATATTTTGTTTGTGCAAGAAACAAGAAAAGATTGTGAAGTTTGTGTCTGACACATAATACCTGCCAATTTTGCTACATGAGAGTCGCTATAAGCGATTTTCTCATTTATCTCAATCATTCTTCGCTCTTCACTTTTCGCGAAGATGCGATCAGAAAATCACTTATTGGGACTCTGTCAAAGCTAAATTTGCAGGTTTTACAATGTTTTCTTGATACTTACAGATACAAAATATCATCATAATATCTTATTAATCCATAACTTCTTAAAACATTTGTTTTTAGCCAAAATGAATGGAAGGCCCCCAATTCCAAGAAAAGTGGTTTAGCTTATTAATGGGTAAATGATTTACCCATGTAATGAGTAACTGTTACCCTTCATTTATATTTAATGGGTAACAGCTACTTATTAATGGGTAACAGATGCTCAAACCACAAACGAAGTGACAGACGACTAACTGGTGAGGAAATCAATTAAAATAATGGGGCTTCCCTTAGCTCAGTCGGTAAAGGCACAGCTACAAAGCAAGACCATGCTGGAGGTGGATGGGTTCGATTCCCGGTCCGGTCTAGGAATTTTTCGGGTTGGAAAATTTCTCGACTTCCCTGGGCAATAGAGTATGATTGTACTTGCCTTGTCACACAATTATACTAATGCAACAATGATACAGGCATCGGAAGCTCTCAATTAATAACTGTGGAAGTGCATCTAGAACACTAAGTTGAGAGCACGCAATAAGCGATATGCAATAAGATTGAAATGCCAAAAAGAAGAAGAAGAAGGTTCGCTGTAATAGAATTTGTTTAAAAGCTTGTGCCATCAGCCACCAGATGGGCTAGTATTTTTGTTTTGATTTGAACAAAGTTGATTTTTGCGCAACGATCGTTGACAGTGTGCAAAGAGTATATCATTTTACCATTTTTTTATGCATTTCTGTTTTGAGTAGAGTGAAAGAGATAGAACCAAAACATTCTAGTACATTTGGTGAAAATGCTAGTTCAATCCAGTAGTAGCAACAATCAATACGAAACTAACGATTTTAAATTGGCTCACCACTTTAGTAGCCTATTGGTCCCAAGCAAACGATTAACGTACCCTATTCTAGTTGAAATTCTATTACTACACTATGTTTGTTTTGATTCGCTATGAAAGTTTGACAGATAACATCAGGGGTGTGTGGATTCATGCAGAACATGCAGGGGTGAGTGAAATAGCTTGGGACTGCTTGGGACCGTTGTTCTGGTACTGAGTGAGCCAAAAATAATAATGATTTTCTTCGGGACCCAGTGGTCTTAGAGTTACCTCTATGGTAGTAGTATTGCCATGCGGTACACTGAAAAATTGCAATAGCAGGTTCTTCACCAAAGTTTTCGAGCCGTCGCCTGTCACTTAGTTTGTGCTCAACTAATCAGTCAAATATTTACCAATTAATGAGTTAAGCCAATTTTTTTTAAAAATGGGAGACATTTTTGTTCATTAATGGGTAAACACAAACAGGCATGGAAAATCATTTACATTCATTTCATGCATTCATTTACATTCATCTGCCTCTAAATTTTTTCATCAACAGCATTCCACAAAATGACGTATAGAGTTTTAGTATGTTTTGATATTAGCTACAACTTTTGCTCATATCTCAAGTCTGTATCTCTTATGCCTCATGAATTAGAGCGGACAGAACTTGTTACTGTTTTTCAGTGAATGTAAAATACACTCACTAAAAGACAGTAGTGACTTCTGTTCACTCTGGTTCGACATGCATAAGAGATACGGAAGCTCTATACATCATTTTGCGGAATTCTGTTGATGAAAAAAGTTAGGGGCAAATGTATGTAAATGAATGCAAATGATTTTCCATGCCTGAACACGAATGCATTTAAGGTGCATCGATGTCAGATTTGTTTATTTTTTTTATATAAAAGGTCTTTCACTTCACTGTAGTTTGTACACAAACCATATGTCAACTGAAAAATTGGATAATGACCGTTGCGAGCAAAAGTGCATTTCTGGAACTTTTAAAAAATCTTTGGGAAAGCTTCGGGGATGCTCTGTTTGCTTCATTCTAGTACCATAATCATCCGTAAAATTAAAGACCTTTGCAAACACTTTGATTAACTTCGGCACACACAAAAACAACAAAAACTTTACAGAGAACAAAGTCCAGCTAACATCAAACAAGTCGGGAGTGCCATGAACGCGAGGAAAATTGAGATATCTCCAATGAATATCGAAGAACACCAGGAAAATTTAAGTAAGTACCATTCACATCATAAAAAACATGGTAGTCTATGCGACTAGAAGTATTCCAAAAAAGGCAAAACTTGATAACTTCAAAAAAATATATCACAAAAATGAAAAAATAAAAATAAAAATTGGACATTTTACTATATGTTGTGTAAAAAAAGCCTTAATCTTCACAGAAAATATATAAACATATTGCACCCTTTGTCTACAAACCATAAAAACCATAAAAAAAAACAAATACAATCAATGTTTTTTAATACAATCCCATTTTTTTTACTAATTATTATATTATTAAAAATTATTTTAAATTACCTTTAACTTGATATTTTGATCTTATATGTCGGCTAAGTGGTTCAAAAGTTATGAA